TGTGAACAGAGTGCACAGAGTCTCTGAAGGATGGATCAAGAGGGGAGGGTTGCCTGGTGCTGTCCAGTCTGTGAGGTCAGCACAGAGATGGAGCTATGGGGATAGCATGGTCACTTGGAGGCTGGCCAGGGACAAGGCTGGGGCTTTTGTCAGTACTTTCCTTTCCTGTGGTATCTGGGTTTGACGGTGATAGCTGGCCTCAGAACAGGTGAGGCATTTCTGTTGTTCTAACCCACAGATTATTTCAAAGTATGGTATTTAAACTTAAATTGATTGACCACTTTACCCAGCATCTGAAAGGTATATATTGTTTTCAAGAGCACATGGAATATTTACCAAGGAAGACCATGTCTGGGCCTGCCTTGGACCATGGTCCTCCTACTTTCGCCTTTCAAGTAGCAGGGATTACAGGTGTGCACCACTAGTCCTGATTTCCTTTCTTTCTTTTTTTTTGGGTGGCACTGGGGTTTGAACTCAAGGTCTCATGCTTGCTAGGCAGGCACTCTTATCTCTTGAGTCACTCCGCTAGCCCAATTTTTGTGATGACTTTTTTCAAGATAGGGCCTCACAAACTATTTGCCCAGAACTGGCTTCAAATCACAATCCTCCTGATCTCTGTCTCCTGAGTAGCCAGGATTACAGGTATGAGCCACTGGCGCCTGGCCTATTTTTGAGATAGGCTCTTGCTAACTGGGGCTTGGGCTGGCCTTGAACCATGCCCTATCTCTGCTTTCCCAGTGGCAGTCTCTGCCTTTTAATTGTGGTGTGCAAGCCCTTTGCACTTAGTGTAATTGTTGGCGTGACCGCATGTAAGTTTGCTATGTTGTTGTTGGTTTCCTACTCGCCCCATCTGTTCCTTGTTCCTCTTTTCACATCTTTCTGCCTTCTCTTGGGTTGAGTTTTTTAATAACTCAATCTTATCTCCATGGCTGGCTTAATGTAAATAACTTCGTGTTTTGTTTTGGAAGTTGTTCTAGAGTTTATAAACACCCCCCTAACGTATCCCAGTCTGATTTGTACTTCATCACCCACATATCCGGTGACGTGTCCAATGCATTTCGTTTGCGAAATGTCAAAGGACATTTTGATCACCTCTGGACCCACACACGATGGTGGCCCCCTGAGATCGCATGACCTAGTGGTGCTATCGTGGGTCCACAACGTCTGCGCGGGGATGAAGTCTCCTGGTGGTCCACTCCTCAGAATGCATCCCTGTCCTGGAGTGACCACGACTCCACGGAACCTCGAACCGGAGTCCACTGCTCCTTCCCTGCTGGTGTGACCACGTTTTATTTCTATACAAGTTACAAACCTGTGACATTATTATCTAGCTTGAAGTGAGCTGCCTCTTCAAACGACTCCAGGAGGGAGAGAACGTGTTTTTACACGCCCCTGCGTGGTGGCTCCAATTTCTGGGTTCCCATCTGGGCTGTCCTGTGCCTTCTATATGTCTGCAAAAGTCCTTGTGTAGAACTACGTTCTGAACTGTTTACACTGCGTACAGAATCTTAACGTAGCAGAACTTTTTTGGTTCAGTATCTAAGGATGTCTTCTTGCTTGTTTTTCCTACAAGACACCTGCCAACTCATTTTCTTTGTCCCGTGTATGTCATCTGGCTACTGAAGGTTTTCTCTTGTTACTGTTTCAGCAATTTTTTTTTTTTTTTGGTGGGACTGGGGTTTGAACCCAGGGCTTCATGCTTGCAAGGCAGGCGCTCTACCACTTGAGCCTTGCCTCCAGCCCCTTTCCATCTGGTTGTTTTTGGAGATGGGGTCTGGCTTGCTGCCCAGGCTGGCCTGGACGGTCCTCCTATTTTACACTTCCCGACACAGCTGGGATGACAGTTGCACACACCACCACTCCCAGCTTTTTCCCATTGAGATGGGGTCTCATGAACTTTTTTGCCCGGGCTGCCCAGAACCACAGTCTCCTACATAGCTGGGATAACAGGCATATCACTCTGCTATTGGTTGATTCTGCGACCTGCACGAGCTCGTCCTAGAAACCTAGCTGGGAGCGATGGGAGAGCAGAAAGGACAAAAGACAAACGTGCAGAAAGCTGGGGTCAGGTGGGCTGGGTGCTCGGATGCAGACGCACAACAGCAGCATTTACTTTGTTTCTATTCCTTTACTTCTTTTCCAGTTCCTGTACAAAATCTAAAAACTGCATTAGCATCTTTGGTCTCTCCTAAAGTCTCGGTCCTTACTCCCTCTGACCCATGTTTTCTGTAGCATAGCTTTTAAAAGCCTATATACAGAGTTTCCAGTGCGCAAAGCTGGGATGGAGACACACAACAGCCGTCAGTAGCACCTGAAGCCTCGTCTGCCTCCAGTGAGTTTATTATATGGCGTGGCAAACGAGGAGGTGGAGCAACAGTTCTGGCGGGAGCCGACATTGCTGCTTCTCTGAACATAAACATTTTAGGAAAAGCAGCTGTGCTGCACTTTGCCTTCTCCCCCTTCTGCAGCTGGGGCCATGCCAAACTCAGCCTGAAGATTATTGGGCACAGCTGTGCTTATGTCAAGTTCTCATAGGCTTCTCATACTCAGCTCCCCACAGTCGAGATGGAGTCTTGAAAAATATTTGCCTGGCTGGCCTCAAACTGTAATCCTCCTGATCTCAGCCTTCCAAGTGGCTAGGATTATAGGTGTGAGCCTCCGCACCCGGCTCTGTTCCAGCAATTCAGGACGCACTGCGATGCACCTTTTGGTTTCTTCTGCAGTTTTATGTTTTTCATCATATTCCAGGCATTATTTCTTAAGTATTTCCTCTGCCTCTTCTCTTATTCAGGGTTTCCACTTATACATAGCACATAACTGGGCCATACTTGCTGGTCCTTTTTTTTTTTTTTTTTTTAATGTGGTATTGGGCTTTGAACTCAGAGCCTACACCTTGAGCCAGTCTACCAGCCCTTTTTTGTGATAGTTTTTTTTTTTTTTGAGATAGGGTCTCTCAAACTATTTTGCCTGGGCTGGCTTTGAACCATGATCCCCCTGATCTCTAACTCCTGAGTAGCTAGGATTACAGGCGTGATCCACCAGTGCTCGGCTGGTGCTCTATTCTTGTGTTTTGAGATGAGGGTCTCATCGCGTTGCCCAGGCTGGCCTTGAACAATTGGGCTCAAGGAACCCTCCTGCCTCAGCCCTCCCAAGTGCTGGCGTTGTAGTGTACACAAAACCCAAGAATGGTACTAAAAATGTGTGCTTATGGGAAAAATGGGAAAAAAAATAGACATCACACAGAGGATATTCAAATGAGAAAGATACAAAAGGGTATTCACCAGTCACCAGGGAAACGTAAATTAAAATCTCAGCCCCCATCACACAGACTTTAAAGTCACAAAGCTAGCTGGACCCAGCGTCCTGAGGCTGAGATGCAAACACAGCCCTCCGGTTTTTCTGCGAAGTGTGAATCATACAATGGATTACAGCGTTGAGGACTGAGCACATATCTTCATGGCAGTCTCTCTCCCAGGTCCATGCCCAAAAGACACACAGACATGTTCACGATGGCTCTGCTCATAACAGCCCAAACGGAGAGAACGTTGTGTCCATCTGGGTCAGCCCTGGGGGACTCATGGCAGGGGCACCACACAGAAAAGGACAGCAAACCAGTGCCATGTGTGCAACTTGGATGTGCATCAGCTAGGACTTAAGAGCTGAGAAGCCAGGTCCCTGGGGCTGGCCAGTGTATTGGTGGAGATGGACATCACCCCAGGTCTCCAAGGAAGGCAGTCATGAGGAAGCTGGGAACTGCGTCATCTGCAGCAGGAGGGTGGTGCAGAGCTCAGATGTGTCCCTGAGCTGCACGCTTCTTGGCTGTCATGAGCCACGTGGAAACTGCACAGTACGGATTGCTCTATGCTCATCCGTCACCGTGCCCAACTGTAGGCAGGGACCCTCCCACAGTAGTGTCTCCTGGGGTTGGCATTTCTGCAGAAGCTGCCAGAGCCAGGCAGGGGCTGCACTATTGAGCCCCTAGGTTGTCCTTCAAGTTCCTGAATGTTCTTCAGGGAGGGGTACATCCCAGCATTGGCACAATCTAACCTGGCCACACCTCCCCTTGTGTGGCCACCTGTTCTTCCTGTAGGTGCTCTAAGTCCCCCATCCCCGGTTTCTGCTCTGCCTTCTGAGCCTTCAGGGACCCCTGCTCTGCATGGCTGTCCTCTGAAGACCCTTTGAGGACCTTGTTCCACACTCAGAGGACTAGGGCACCATCTATTGCTTCAGCATTTTAATAGACAAAACTAAAGAGATGATTTGAAATGTCTTTCTTTCTAGTCACTAAGTGAAGCTTGTGATGTCTGTTGTATTTTGGAGTCCTTGCAGGCACCCAGATTTGGATTGCACTGGAATTGTCTCATACATGTCAGCATGGGCCAGTATGAACAACACATGTTCTACTTAGAGCAGACCCCAGGTGACCAATCTCAGAGAAGGGTTCCATGGCCATGACCTTGACGTGTGGGCACAGGGCATGTGTCAGCAAACAGCAAGCCCATGCTGACAGCCATGTCCCACACTTTCTGATGAGTCATGGACAGTTGTCCCAGACACTCCTGGTCACAACAGCGCCCTTTAAACAGTTCCTCAGAGGATAAACCACCGCGTGGGGCGTCACGTATCTGAACCTTGCCATTGTTCCCAGTCTTTGAAAGTCAACAGAGCATTATTCTAACCTGAGCATGCATCACTGCACAGTCTCTTAAACAGCAGAGATCAGGAGGATCAAGAGACCCTATCTTGAAAAACACCTATCACAAAAAAGGGCTGGTGGTGTGGCTCAAGAGGTAAGAGCACCTGCCTAGCAAGCATGAGGCCCTGAGTTCAAACCCCAGTACCACTAAAAATAAAAACCATGATTCAGAGACTAGGAAAGGCTAAGTTTGTCCTTTGAATGCATAAATAAGTCCATTGTATGTGTTAACTTCTGTGAAAAGTTAAACTTAAATATTTGAAACACTTTATTATTCCAGTTCAAGGAAAAAAAAAATCACAGCCAGAGAAATTTATTTTAAAATAGAAACACACACACATTAAGCTTAAAACAATCAATTTTAAACAAAAGGGAAAAAAGAGCCGTTTGATCCCAGAGTCCATATGGAAAGAATTTCCATATGCATTTGAAATTCACATAAGGAGCACTTAAAACAACTTGAAATGGAAACCCAACATCCTCCTGGAGGACTCCACAGCAGAGCAAACTCGTGTGTAGAGCCACACTTGGTTCCTTCCACATGGGAGGGCGCTCAGGAGGTGCTGAGGAATGTTCAGAGGGATTTGGCAATGCAGAAAGTGTGGTGTCTAGGAATTCCCAAAGCTTCCAGGAATACTCATTGTTGCCAGCTCTATTCTGTTCTGCTCTGCCTGGTGGCCAGAGCAGCCCAGGCCAAGCCATCAGTCTGCATGGGATTTCCGCTTGGGCTGCTCCTCGTAAGACTCCCCGAACTCGTTCACTCTGCTCTTATCCACAGGATAAAGCCTGCAATGACAGATAGTGACCACTAACAAGGCCAGCCTCACTGTCTTTCTGAGGGAGGACGCATATTCTGGATCATCCTCCACCAAGTGAGTGACCAGGAGGCTGGAGCACGGGCAAGTTGCTGCCTCTGTGTCAGGGGCTGCACAGGCACTTCTGGGGTTGCCTCCCCCTTTCCCTTGTGTTTGAAGGTAAGGAAATAAGAAACTGGCTAACCAAAGGACACCAGCCTCAGAGCAGGGTGTGCCCCGGCAGGTCCACTGTGGGGAACTGTGCAGGTGCCATCAAAACACCCTCTTTCTCCTCCTCAGTCCAGCTCAAAGCACTCTGTGAGCACTCACTTTCTCTGTCCTGAGACTGCTGGGGCTGTGCTGGGATTACCCTGCTTATCGCTGCTTGGAGCTGTATGCTGGAGCCCCACAGACTATGAGAGATTTCATCTGTAAAACGGACCCACCTCCCTCTACGAGCCCTGGGGCCCCAGCTGACTGGAGTCTAAAACACACAGTCTCAGGAGAATCATGAGCTTGTGGGGTTCCTGGGGCCGAGTATGAGTATTTGGGAGCCACTCCTTGCTGGACCAACACGGGACCCAATGAACAACAGTCCTGCACCACGCATGTCAGTGGTGAATTCACCATGAGCTCGTTTCCTTCCTCAGACAGTGGGGGAACCAGCTGTGGATCTGAGCACCAGTGAACTGATCTGAGCACTGTGTGGTCCACAACTGAGCTCCTATGCAAACGTGCTTCCTTCCCAGACATGCGTGGGCATGGATACACAGCCCCAGTTCTGAGAGTGCATACAGGATGTCTAGGAGGCTGTGGGAAGCACAGCTGTGTACCAGGGACAGTCCAAGAGGCGCTGTCTCCAGTGGGAGCTGGTGTACCCCAGTATGGCAGGAGGGAGATGGGAAGAAGGGATCCAGAGGAGAAAGGACACAGCCACGAAGTTCTGACCCAGCAGCATCCAAGGGGGGACTCTGGACCCAGGGTCGGCTCAAGTTTTCTCTGGTCCCTGCAGTTATCCAGGACACCTCAGACCCCAGCCCCTGCACCAGGCACATGGGCACTGTGCACGTGGCCCACTTACCACCGCTGATAAAGGTAGACCAGAAACACCACGTCATCCCTGAAGCAGGCCAGCCGGTGGGAGGTAGGCATGGTGATGATGAAGGCGAAGACATCGTCAATGAAGGTGTTGAAAGCCTGAAAAGCCAGATGGGAGGAAGCATAACTCTTGTCTGCTGGAACCCCACTCTTTGTGACAGTCAGTGAGTGGTATCACAGCAGACATGGGACGTGTGACTGTGAAGTTCAGTGACTGCACAGCAGAAAGCGAGCCAGGGGAGCAACACCCAAGAATGCAGTGACACATGGCCCCAGTCCTGGTGCACCAACTCTGTCACAAGGGTCCCCAGGCTTTCCACAGTGGGAACCCTAAGAGGACCATGAGAAACACGAGTAGAGAAAGGCCACTTGTCTGTGCTGACACTGCTGCCAAGGAGCATGGCCTTCTGTTCACAAAACCTGTCACTGTGGCTTCATGCCACTCCCTTGTGGGAGAGGCACTTACCTTGTAGGTGAAGGCCTTCCAGGGCAGGTGTGCCACCGACTTCATCTGACACAAGGAGAGACAACACAGGTCAGCTGTGGGCAGTTCAGAGAACACAGGGGCCACTGGTCAAACAGAGACAACTTGAGCCTTACCTTGTAGTTGACAAAGAGCTGGGGCAACATGAAGAGGAAGCCGAATGCATAGACTCCTGCAGAGAAGAGATGACACCCATGAAGAAGAGCCAAACATGCGGTCCTGCCGATCCATGTGCACTTGGCAGGACAGACACCTCACTTCCAAACTGGCTCAGCTGTCCTGCTGCAATGCAGTGTCCTGGATGGCAAACTCGCCAACATCCCAGAATGAGTTAGGAGAGCAAGATACTTTTTACTGGGCTGGGAGTGTGGCTCAAGTGGTAGAGCGCCTGCCTAGCAAACACAAGGCCCTGAGTATGAACCCCAGTGCTGCCAAAACAAAAACAAAAACCATAAAAAGGATACTTCTTATTGATTGCTGTTCACTTTCATCAGTGGGGACCAGGAAGTGTTGAGCACTGGGGCATTGTGGAAACTGTGAGAACCACATGGTCCTGCCTAGAAGCCCTTGCCAAACTTCATTGCTCATGGGTGTACCCTCAAGACAGCGTGAAGCTGTAACTAAGGCTAGCGTGGGAGAGGCAGAACCTCCTGCCCAACCAAGGCACACAGGGCGTGTCTCAGATGCTCAGCCATGAGACACCCAAGGCATACAGAGGCACTGGAGGTCTCTCTGGTATGTCCATATCAGATGGGGTGCCACACTCAGGGCCTGGCATTCTGGGTAATCCCAAGGAACCAGATACCCAGACAGCCTCTGAATGCTTAAGTTGCCTGTCTTTGAAGAGGACAAAAGACTATCTGCTAGAGGCTCCAAGTCCAGGGGACAAGTCTTGCTTGATTCTCAGCCACTGGGATGCTGGGCACTGCAGAGGTGCTGGAAGAGGGCAGGGGACTGGCCTCGCATCACAGGCACCTGTCATGCTGGGTCCAGAGCAGGAACAGGAAAAGCGGTCTCTGTTGTAAATACTATCACCAACAGTGAATGTGTGGACTCACCATTCACGAAGCTGTTGATAAGCCACGAATACCAACTGCAAAGGAAAGAAAGGTGTTGTAGTCGTCAAACAGCCTGACTTCCCCCATCACTGACGTTGCAAGTTGATGAAAAACTCTCCTGTAAACATCCCAGCAGTTGCAGGAAGCTGGGAAGCCAAGAGAGGCTCTGTGCCCAGCAGGGTCTCCCTGGGGCAGAATGGGGCCAGGCTGACCCAAGGAGGCCAAGCCCCTGCCCTAATTCCTTGGGATGCATGGCCTCTCCTAGGAGTCTGGTCAGACCACAGGCAATCTGGACAGGAACAGATTTCATTCCCTTAAGACTTCTGGTAAGGTGTAAAACCAACTGCCCATACCCAGCTCTCAACTTTCCATCCACCCATCCTGACCTGCAGCCTGACCAGGGCCACTCCATTAACTCAACCTGATGTCCAGACTGTCCCGCCCCACCTGACCCAAGCCCTGAGTCTTCCCAGCCCGACTGTTCCTGTTCAGCTGAAGATGTGGTTTGTATCAACCCTTTCCCTTTTCAAACTCTGTCCAACCTCTGTCTTCCAAGGCAGTAGCAGGGGAAAACCTGCACTTCTCAGATTGGAAGGTGAATCGATGCCCACTGTGTGGGGAGAAAAGCCAAGGGTAATGGGCATAATGGGACTTGGCCCTTGCAGCCCAACCTATGCCTTCAATTCCCAGATTGCTCCTCTTTGTAATGGGGCCCCTGAGGCAGAGGGGCCTGTCTTCTCCACACCCCAGAGGAGACTGTGGCCCAAGGCAAGCAGAATCTAGCCTGCAGCCTGGGCAGGTCCCTAATGCTTGGCCACTGGGTAAGCTGGTCCACCAGGCACACTTGCTCTGAGCTCAGTAACAAATCTGGGTTTTCAACTGGAGAGTGCAACGCACGAGTCTGAAGCACTCACCTCTTGTACTTGATATTCAGGAGTGAGTAGACAGCACCCCCAATACAAAGAGGGTAGAGCAGGTAAGACAAGTACTTCATGGCCTGTGGGGGGAAGGGACAACTTCCAGTTAAAACACCTCAGCAGATGTGTGGCATGACAGTCTTGCAACAATGAGAATCAAGAAAAAAGCCAAGACACCTGTGACATTTAGGGCAGTGACATGGCTGTGTGCTGTAGCAACAGTGGACACACATCAGTGAACCTGCATGCAAACTGCAGACCCAACTGATCATGTATCACAGTGACCCTCAGCCATCTTAACAAGTTGGCTGCACAATCAACACAGCAGGCAAAAATTGGAAGACGCCTCAAGACTCACACTCAGGCTGCACAATGCAGCCATGTTCCTATGACTTGAGCTTTCTTAGAATCTCAGTAAGACTGAAATGCAAACTGACACACACTGAACTAAACACCAACCAGTCTGCAGAGGCACCCGGTCAGATCCAGCCAGCCCCCCAGTGGCAGTGAGGAGACCAATGCTGGCAGAGCCAGAGCCCTTCATGCAGACTGTGTATATGCTGGCTGGGACAATCACAATGAGCAGTCTGGAACTGAGCTGCCTGTCAGGTAAGATCTTATAAACAACAGAAACTGTCCCAGGTGTAGCAGTGACAGGACCTGGCTCTACTTGCAAGGGCCTCTGCGAGCCCCTCCTTCTTTGCAGGACATGTATGTCCTGTGTTCACTCTCAGGACCCTGCTCAGGCTGGCCCGCCCCCGCCCCCGCAACTGACAGGACACAAGCCTCCCGCAGCTCACCTGCATGATACAACCCTCCTCCCTCACAGGACATGATCCTCCCCCGCCCAAGGACTCTCCCGCAGCTCACCTGAGCATCATACTCCTCGGTCTTCCTCTCAGATTCACTGCAGGTGCCAAACTGTTGTGAGATGACATGTGACAGTGTTAACAGACTCAGGAAGGAATCTCAGTGCAGCCAGGACTGGGGCAGTGAATGGTGCCACACCCACTACACAGTCAGTGTCACATCCAGCTGTTCTGCCCCAGACCCCAGCACTGCGCAAAACTTCTCGAAGATTCCTCCCAAGCTGTGCAGCACCATAGCAGGCCTTGCAGGATGGGCTCTGCTTTGCTCTGGCCCCAACCCATGCTGTTTAGAGGACACATGGCTACTGCAGTGTTTTCTCCTCACTGGGCGATTCCACTCCTCAGCTTTGAGACTCACATGGAAACACTTAGGCTGCTCTACAGTCAGCATGGAGGAGCTAACACTACACACAAGTAAATGTTCCCATCTCAGCCTCAAGAGTGGGACTGCACACATACTTCTGAGGGCTAATGCAATCAAGGCCCATCACAAAAAACAAAATCTCAAATTCTGGGCCTTAACCCCCAACCCTACTCTGTCCATCAGCAGATATGGCTTGGGTCTGTTAACAGCCTGAGTGGCGCTGAACCCAGCATGAACACAGAGCCCCATAGCTCCTTCTCCCAGGTTTGAGAAGGCAGAGGTGCAGCCTCTGCTTCCAGAGAGGTCAACACTTGGTCTCCTGACTGAGGAATGCAGGTAAAGCAGCAGCCCTGCCAATGAGGCTCACAATCAGGAGCTGCAGAGCCATAGTCCATCTACCCGCATGCTGATGGTCACCTGCCTTCAGAGGGTCTGGAAGGGTCATTATACAGCTCACCTGGAACCAAGGCATCAGGCCCCTCCAGGCCACCGTCATTTTCAATGCTTTCTTCACTTTCCAAAGCTGAGGGAAAGAGAACATACCAAACATGCAAGATTCTGAGACTCACGGAGAACGAGCTGCACAGTGCGGTCAGCATCCTGTCCCCATCCACCGCCCCTCTTCCTCCACCTCTCAGTCCCTGCAAACTGTGCAGGCTCTGCATCTGTCCTCAGGGGCTGTCTACCATATAGAGCTATGCAGCTTGCTATGTGTTCTAGCCAGCACTCAGGCCTGCTCCAGGTGGAGCCCATCCCATAGCCCTCTGGATCCATCCTGTCTCAAATTCCCACCCAAACCAGGAGCTCCTCTAAGGCCACACTGCTCAAGACACCTTACAGAGACATCAACATGGCTCTGCTGATGGGTGTAAGCTCACAAGTCTATGCAACAGAGACCACCTTCCCTAGCACTTCCCAGCCACTGCCTCCCTGTGCACCTGTGTCTCTAGAACATCAAGACTGCTCAGGTGAGCCCTCCAGTCCTCAGCACATGTGTGTAAGTCCTCACACAATCCCCAATCCACCCAGACCCAGCATAGTGCCCAGGACCCACCTCGATGGCAGCCCCAACACCTGCTGGGACCAGTACCAGCAGGCTCGTCTGCTCATCCAGCAGGAACAGGAAGATGACCACAGTGCTGAAGCAGCGCCAGAGTACTGAGGACATAAGGTGGCACAGTGAGTGATGGTGGCACTACAACATAGTCACCTGTGCATGTTTGCCTCCACTCATCTGCACACCACCCACTGCCTGTGCACATAAAGCTTCCACTATCCCTCCAGCCCATGACATCCCATTTGAAAAAGGATGGTTGGGCTGGAGGTGGTGTACAGTGGTACAGTACTTGCTTAGGGTGGGTGAGGCCCTGGGCTCCATCCTCAGCACCATGGGGGAAAGCAATCAACAATTATGTAGCTCTGCAAAATGTTTTTAGATTACTAAAGGCCACAGAACAATACAGATGGCAAAGTGCCAGCCAGGTAGCGTGTGCCTGATCGATACTGGCAAGCATACAAAGAGCACAACCAAGGTGCTGAGACTGGCCACCTGCGGACTAGGATCATCCTTACTTTGTACTCTGCTGTTCTGTACTTTCTGTGTTAACAGTTTCTTTTTTATAAAGCTGTAATTTTTTTCTTCTCAATTTGTACTTTGAAACCCATCCAGCTTGTCCTGCCTTCTGTGAGGGCCTGGTGATCCGGGGAGAAGGGAGGAGAGGCCTGCAGATGCACCGTTAGTGCCACAGCACCCAGCTCAGCAGGAGGCCCCTCCCTCCCAGGAGACTGGTGGACTGCCCAGGATTTGTCTTTATGATGTGAGACCACCTTCTGTTTGAGACTGGCTCGGGTCAAACCCAGGCAGCCAGACTCCTACCAGACATAGGGAGAACAAGGGAGGTCCCTCCCAATGGCCCCTCAGCACCCACACTGGTCCGGCCACTGCCCCTTCTGGAAGGTCAGAAGGAGCTGCTACTCTGACTTTGTATAGTCAAACTGTCCCACTGAACTTCAGTGAATCAACTATCCTGCAGAGTGACTAACTAACCTCACTGATGTGGACACTGCTTAAAGTACTGTGGAATTTCTTCTGACAACTGCCTCAAAACCAGTGGCCACAGTCCAGAACTCATCGGGCTATGGACAGCATCCTGTAGCTCCCTTTCTGGAGCTGGGAAGTAGGCAGGGGATGGGGGTTCTGGCCCTACACCTGTGCCCAAGAGCTGCCAGGCACCCTCTGCCCCCCAAGTCCGGGCCCATACTCCACACACACCCATTGAAGGGCCTGGACTAGGCCTTGGGTCCTGAAGCCTCCAGCCTCAATGACCACAAGCTCCAGAGATATTCACACAATTGCTGAGATGGTGTCAGGTTCAAGCTGCCTGATCTAAGATGTGCCTCCCTCCTCAGCTGAGCTCAGACCCAGAGCTGCAGCAACAAGCACTATCATAGGCATAAGCTGCAGACTTCCCAAGGACCCTCAGAGAACATGAGGGCAGGCTGAACCACTCCTGGATCCCACCTGCTTTGGTGGACATTCCAATCATGCTCTTCTTCTTCTTCCAGAAACTGATGTCATTTTTAAATGCCAGGAAATCAAAAAGAAGCTGCAAAGAACAGACAGGACAGCAGTTTGCACAACCTGTCACTGGTGCCCACGGGGCGAGCCCGCAGGTGAGCACAAACCTTGGGCAAGACAGGTCCACACCCTACTCCTTAAGCCAGAGCCGTGGAACTCGGAGGGAGGCTTTGACAGGGTACTCCCCAAACATACACCCGTGACTCAAATGTTGGGGAGAGAACCCCAGGCACTGCCATGCTGCCTTTTCCACTCTGAGTGTCCACAGCACCCTGGAGTACATAGCTGGCCCGATGCCCCTGCATCACTCAGGAAAGCAGCCCCAACTCTCACTGTGCAAATACTGAATGGACTGAACCTTAGAGAAACCAACCTTCTAACAAAGGTGACACTGGCTTTCTAACCTGGTTTAGGGAAGTTTTGGCAGGACTGGCCCCCAGCATCTCTCCATCCTCCACCCCAACCACACCCAGCACACTGCCATGCAGACAGCTCTGTAGCAGCTCTGGACTTGTGCTCATGTGACATACACAGGAATGACTTCTCAAATTTAAAATTATCACAACATTTTAAACTGCAAAATGAGTATGTTGCAAAACCATTTGCCAATCTCATTGATGTGGACACTGCTCCAAGTTGTGGAATTTCTTCTGAAAACGATCTCCAAAGACAGTGGCCAGAACCCAGAGCCCCTTGGGCTGTGGACAGAACCTTGTGGTCACCTTTTCTGAACTGGGAGAGTTCCCTGGACAGCAGCAGTCACAGGAGTGCTGTGGCTGAACAAAAGGCATTGAGGGGCCGCAGGACTGGGCAATGACCATGAACCCTGAATGCAACTGACCCCAGCTGGAGATGCTGGTGTCCAAGGAGCCACCCCAGTGCCTGTGCCTATTACCTGTCCCCCCAAGAACACAAGTGACAACTCACATGAAATGCAGCAACAAAGAAGGTCAATGCCAGGAAATACAGGTTGGTGTCTACAAAAATCCCCTTCACCTCATCCGCATCTTTTTCTGAGAAGCCTGCAAGGAAAAACATGCATCATAAAGCAGCAAGGTAAGCAGTTTCAGCCTCACCTAATAGTATAAAGGTATTTTTGGGGAATGTAGAAAACTTGAGTCTTGTCAGAAGCAGAAGTTCATTCCATGGAAGCTGTGGCATTTAAAATATTACTTCCAAGTGAAGCAAATTTTCAGGTCACTTTCAAAGAGGCAGATGAAGACAAGACACTAGTGAGCCTTCTGACTGGTAGAATGTGGATGGTCCCCACCAGGAGAGGAGGGGCTGCCGGGGTCTGTGGATAGTGGTGGGGTGCTGGCAAGTTCTCAGAAAGAGGCAGAGCACAGCATGGCTCTCATTCACCAAACCATACATCCAGCCCAGCAAAGCCCGGGGCTACTCACCGAACTGCTGCAGGGAGTACACAGCGTCCTGCATGTGGATCCAGAAGCGCAACCGCCCCAGTGAGATCTTGTCGTAGGACACGGTGAGCGGCAGCTCAGTGGTGGAGCGGTTTATGACCTGCCACCAAGAGAACCACAGATAAGGGAGGGCCTGCCACTGCATGGGGTTGAGGGCCCAGCCGTGAGGCTCCTGGGAGCCTCAATAGCCCTTGACACCCTAGTGGATCCCTGCCTGCCTCCTTATGGCCATGCCCAGGACACTGTACCACCTACTATGGCCCTATACCAGTCACAGTGGGCTCTTCAGGGGCTGGTGTCTGCTTCAGGGCTCATTCCTCATCCTGGGCCCTCATGCTCAGTCTGTAGCCTTTTCCAAGGACTGTGAGCTCTACCAGCTACCATGCCAGGGAAGTGTGGGTGCTCCCTGTACCGTCTGCTCACCATTCTCCTGAGTGAGGCGCTCCTGTCCTCTCCACCTACTCAAGTCCCATATATCCCTCCTGATCTGTGCCATCTGAGACCATCCACATGTGGAGCACTGTGCCCATTTCATGTGTGTCCCATGTTGGTCCAAGCTCGTGAGCTCCAATGCTCCAAAAGATGGGCTCACCACCAGCATTTGCTAGGAACCCACTTAGGTCTCACTAAGCTGAGGGTTAAGCAGGTGTGAGCACCTGCCGAGGTGCTGCAGCCTTGTCCTCAGAGAGCCAGAGACCGGGCTAAGGATATGACAGGCTAAGTGCCTGCAGCTGACCCTCAAAGCACAGCTGTGGAGACAGCAATTGCTTTAGGAAGTGGAGCACCTGAGCCATATCCTGCAGCACGAGGGGCCACAAGCACCCCAGTGGTACAGACACACACCTGACTGTCACATTCCACGAGCCCAGAGCACCATCGGATCCACCTGCCCAGACGCACACCCCTGAGCCCTGTGAGAAATACTGCTGGTGTCAAGGACGTGGTGGACAAGGGGCTGCTGACAAACTAGCCAAGGCATCAGGCCTGAGTGTCCTGAGCTCAGAAGCCACATGCTGGGCCCCACACAGTGCAGAGGCTAGTGCACGGAGGCACAGACCTCAGGGCCACCCTTGGTTGTCCATGCCAATCCCTACAGATGGCGTTCTTCTGAGAAATGGCTCCAGTGGCACACAGCAGGCGCTGCAGGGAAGCCAGCTGCCTCCAGACCTCCACAGATTTGAACATGACTTTTCCTAAACCACACAGCCTGTGATCACTTGAATTTAGGAAGCTGCAGACGCTTCCCTGGGGCCTTTATCTAAACAGCCTGTGGACAGACACATGGACACCCACACCACTTCACACATGAAGTTGCCAGGCACTGTTCTCAAGTGTTGTGAGGAGCCAGTATGGTCAGGCCTTGCACATGGCAGCCCCTGTACGCTTCAGCAGAGCCTGGTGTGTGCTACGTTTTCCATGTGCATTACAGCACACCCAGAAAAGGAGCAAAGGGAAACTGAGTGACAAAAAGGTGGGCTGGGAGCTGCTCATCAGCACAACTGTCATGCCCACCCTACCACATCATGGAAGCACAGACAGCACCCCAGGATGTTAGCCACTCTGGGGTTCCAGCAAAGAGCTGTCCAGAGGGCCTGTTATCCTAAGCCACAGGCAGCAGCAGAATTCAAGAGAGGGCTGAGGCAGAGACCAGCTGTGCACTTCTCCAAGCCTCAGTTTCACATCTGTATGATGGGGAAAAAGTCCAATCCAGAGTGACTGAAGTCTCAGGTGAAGAATCTAGGCTGGCTCCCAGGGAGCACTCCAAACAACAGCCACGGCCTCAGGAACTTGCTCACATACTTGGCTCACACACGACCCCAGCCAGAATTCATTTTCTGGCCCCAAGTAACTTCAGCTGGGAAACAAAGAGTGACATAGCTCTTGGTGGCAACTGTTACGACATGGAGTTCTTGGCATAGCATGTGGCACAGAGTGGGTAGCACTGAATATTAATCGTTACCATTCTCTTTAACAGCCAAAGGTCAGCGCTTGCTTCCACCCTCAAAGAAGCCCTGGTCTTTTTGGGAGACTAGCACCTCACTGCCCGTAACGATGAGGGCACTGGAGCCCAAACAACAGCTACTTCTTTTCCTCCACAGGCCCAGCAACCTTAGGCTGGGTCCTAATATTCATCTGGCTGTGCTGCAGGACCAGCCCTGGGCTACAAGGCTGCTCAGGTACTTCTGCAGTGACACAGGCCTATGCTAGGAGCAGACATGTAGCTGTCTCAGATGGAGCTAAGCATGAAATAAACGACCTCCAGTACCTTCACCAGGACAAGGGGGTATGAGGATTCTGCAGCCAGCCATTAGCAACGCCAGGTTCAGAGATCCCCATTTGGCCCTCATACACTTGAGGGGTACATCCAACCATGTGTGAAAGCTGGGCTGTGTGCAGAGACAAGCCCATTGAGTACTGCCAGAACCGACCAGACAGCCATTCCCAGGCCCTGCCTCATGGTGCACCAGACTGCTGAGGTCTAGAGCAGGTTGAGAAGAGAGCACGGCTCACCATCAAATCCTTCACGCGGTTGCTCAGCTGGTCAATGAACAGGATGGGAAGGTAGTGCACAGTCTCCCCTAGCTGGATCCTGGGGAGGGAAGCACAACATCTCAAAGTCAGGGTCAGACCTGTATCCCCGGGACACTAAATAACTCCAGAAACCAGATTTCCCCAGAGGACCTCCCGCCAGCACCACCTTGACTGCATCAGCCCCTGAAATCCCAGGACACAGCTTTCCCAAGCAGAAGCAGAACACTGTATGACCACAGTCAAAGCTACAGGCAGGAAAACCCACGTGGCCTCCATGGGTGGTGGAAGCCAAGGACCCATGTACATACTCAGATCCCAAGATACAGAAGGAAAGGGATAAAACCCTGTGCCACTGGCCCCTAGGATGAGAGGCCATCCATTGCCGAGGACAGAGACAGGGCCGAGCTCTTTACCAGATGCCTCTTTCTGTACCTCTTACACTTTGGATCATGTGCAGAAATCACGTACTTAAAAATAAGACTTAGGACTAGGGACACAGCTCAGTGGTGGAGCCTTTGTTTAGCATGTTCCAAGTCCTGAGTTTGATCCCCAGCATGGAGAAAAAATAAGATTTAGGGGGTTGAGGATATAGCTCAGTAGTGTACTTGCTAGAACTACACTCTAGGATCTATTCTTGGTATCACAAAAAAAAAAAAAAAAAAAAGACTTAGGTCTTAAGAAAGAAAACACCTATGGACAAGGCCTGATGCAGTGATTCATGCCTGTAATCCCAGCTACTCAGGAGGCAGAGATTGAGAGGACTGTGGTTTGTGGCAAGCCCAGACAAAGAGTTAGTAAGACCTGATCTCAACCTACAAGCCAGGTATGGTGGCACACATCTGTCATCCAAGCTACTAGGAAGGTATAGATAGGAGGACCACGGTTTGAGGCTGGCCCTGACAAAAACACAAGACTCCACCTGAAAAAAATAACCTAAAAGTAAAAAGGGTTGGGGGCACAGCTCAAGGCTCAACTGGTAGAGTACATTCCTAGAAAGTACAAGGCCCTGAGTTCAAGCCCCAATTTCTGGTGATGATGAGAGGGAAGAAAGTCACCTATGATGACATCCCAGGACTCTTACCTCAGCCACTTCCAGAAGCCATATACTGTACATCACTAGGATCCCCAAGCACTGAGACAGGATTGACCATGTAATAGTTACACTCAACTGAGGATGGCAAGCAAGACTGAAGTACTAAAGCTATCTAAAGAGGAATTTTTAATTTCAGTGAGGCAATTCATGGCTGAGGTGGCAGAGGACAGAGTAAAGTCACAGGGTGCAGAGCAGTCAGACCTAATTGCTGTTTCCATTTTTGCCCAGTGGGCACCACTGCCAAGATGATAGAAGGGTGAGAGAATCCAGCTGGAATTCCTCCCTTCTTACAGTCCTTTCAGGAAGCCTTAATCAGCACGATCTCCATGAGTGGGCAAGGAGTTGGGAGCCTGAAGGTGGCACCTGACACAGACAGGGCCCAGGAACAGGTGTGGCCCACCGTGTTAGGGTTGTAGTTGGCCACAGTTCCAGTCAGCTCCCCAACATGTGGGGTCCCCCTCTGCTCAGTTTCAGGAGCAGTGTCCCTCTCAGTTCTCATTTGACACTTACATCTTCATGTATCGGTGCACGTCAGCAGGCAGGGAGGACCCGTCGAAGACAAAGTTGTCCACCATCACGTTCAGGGTCAGCCTGGGTCTCCAGTGAGAGACAGGCTCATCCAGGGCATTTGACGGCTTCTTCTCTGCTTCAATTTGCTGCTATAAATGATAAGCAGAAGCCACACTGGAGTGGAGACCTGCGCCTGGGACAGGTCTGGGGCAGTAGGGCAATCAGTCCTCTACCTGCGAACAGACCAGTGGCCCAGATGGGCACAATGGGAAAGGAAAGCCCAGTGGAGGGGCCATGGGGACCCTGGATTGCCGGTTTCTGACCACACTCTCCCTCTTTCCCAACAATCATGTGTGTGGTCAGGGGTTCCACCAACTCTACCTTTGGGGCTCTCAGCTAAGCCCCCAAAGGGCCCACTCCTGGGATCCTGAAGGGCAGAGCCCAGGCACCTGGGGAGCAGACTGAGCAGATCTACAGCTAACAGCCCTGTGGGTTGGGAGGAGACTGCCAAGAGACACTGCTAAGCCAGAGAGAAGAGCGAAGTCTGAATGGAGATATGCCAAGATCAGGCATAATTCTAGATAAACCTAAAAACTCAGAATGAAACTGAGCAACAGGACACGGTTACTCTATCATTAAGTGCAGTAGTGCCATCTTTCTTCCTTCCTAAAATAGTTCACCCACAACAATTGTCATAGAAAGGGTCTTCCAAGTAACAGCAGTGTGCCTTTTTCTCCTACACACCAGAGGCCACACCATACTCTACACAACCATCGCTTGCCACTCCTCAAGACACCAGGAGGGAGGGCCACTGCCTCTGTGAGGGCCTCCCAAGGAGACACAATAGGAGAGAACAAACTGGAAGAGGGTTTTAAAACTGCTCTGAGCCCCAAGACCATGGCTATTTCTTGCAAAGTTGCCATCTTCCTTGTTTTGTAGTTTATTTCACCTTCTACTCAACAGAGACACAGATATCACATTCCCTTGCTTTACCCAGGGCCCCATCAATGATCACTTTTTTGATTTGCAGGGTTCCTTTGCACACGCAGTAGTACCTATACCTTTTCTGTAATTTTGAATTATAAGCTTGGAGTAAATGTCCACTTTGCAGCATCCTGTACACAATGCACCATAAGCACAACCTTAAGGATGGTCCCAGATGAGAAGGCACAGGTGAGTTCTGCAGGACAAGCTGCACCACCAGGAAGGGACATATGATCCCTGTGGAATGCAAAGGGCCCCAGGGGGAATCTGGGTAGAATGCAAAGGAATCACTACTACACCCCTGATTTTATATTTACCTGAAATTACTCAGATGAAAGGTACTTACGAATACCAGTAATACTTAAATTGCTTTACTTTCCAACAAAGACAGTACGGCCCTCCATGTGAGCTTCCATTAGAGACGTGCATGCAAACGCTGAGTGTGAGGCAAGAGCTTGCTTTGTCAGTCACCTGTGCAGACCCTCACCTGAGAAGCAGACTCCCCAGTGAGCAGGTTGATTTCTTCTGGCTTGGGGATCATGTAGGTAGTCAGAGGACTGACCAGGTGCACCTGCTTCCCATCGTGCCATGGCGGAATCCCAGCGTGATGCAGGAAAATGTATGCGTACAGCGTCCCATTGTTTCTTGTTTTCTTAGGAACCGAAACATTAACTGTCCTAAAACAAGTTATTCCAGAACATGCACATTTCATTCTGTGTTTACACACATGTAGAGCTTAGTCAAATCTCTTCAGATAGTGCTGTTTCTCTTACCTAATTTTAGCCTAGAACTACTGAAAATGAAACCCACCTGCCTATGACTCTACTGACCCCCAAACAGAGGTGCCTTGAGCATTCTGAAAACTAAGGCAGCTATAACCGATGGTGAATAAGCCAGCACTCCCCGCCTCCATATTAAGAGGTTCAGAGAGGCCAATAACTCGCTCAAGAGGCCAGATAGAAATTGGCACTGGGTCTGGTAAGAGACAGTTGGTTTCTACAGCATACTGAATAATCCAACTCACAGTCCTAGCATCAGAGGTCAGACCCTACTCTCACAAACTTTATGCAACCAACCTATACTACAAGCGCTTCTTCGGCACTACAAAGAAGTTCAGAAATATACAATGTGGGTAGATGTTTGGATTTTGCTGTATTTATTAATAAAAAGATGGCAGATTACTGGTCATGAAAGATTGGCTTTCAGCCCTACCAGAGTGGCTCAAGGGGAAGAGTGCCTGCCTAGCAAGCAAGAGGCTCTGAGTTCAAACTCCAGTACCAAAAAAAAAAATCTAAGATTGTTTTTCAGGCCTTTGGTCAGCCCTGACTGTCCACTAGGTGGAGGCCCCACTGACTGGCTCTTTGTCTGCACTTCCCAGTTGAGTTCCACATGAGATTCCTGTGAAAAACCACAAACTGCACCTGCCGATGACTAGAGAAGCGCTTCCTCCTCCTTTTCTGTAACTCTCATGGCCACAGTTCTACACAGGGACCCCTCACCATTATAGAAGTGTCTCTATTAGGATATCAAGTGGCTTGCCTTATGCCTGTGGTGTTGGGCTTTACACCAACGCTCCATGGCAGTTTCTGGAGAGTACAACACTGGTATGGAGAACTGTAGGAGTGCACTAGCACTCCTTTTTCCAGGCTCAGAAATGAAGGCCCTACTATCTGTTCTCTATAACAGTGAGAGAGCCAGCACTTCCCACCTCCATTTCACAAGGCTCAGAGGGGTCAACAACTCATCCAAAGTCATAGGCCTACATAGCTGGTGAAACTGGCACGTGAGCTAGTCAATGATGTGCTTCCCCATGGGGAGGGGCTGGCTACCTAGAGGGCCTGATTGATGCCTCTGGGGCAGTGCAGATGGGAAAAGGTAGAATCTTGACAAGAAAATCACTTTAAAAATTATACCTGAACTTTTAAATGTTAGAACCATATGTTAGGTACTAAACTATGTTAATTTAAAATAACTACTCTACATAGGTGGATACTGTCTGATCTGTTCTGATGTCAGATAATCATAACTTTCTATACACCTGTTCCTTCATCCCGTTTTTTCCCTTTACAAGTAACTTAGGCAAACTATGACATCTTTCCTTTGGAGTCTCTACTGGCTGCCGTGCACCACACTGCCGTCGGACATGAGTGTTAAGTTACTTTCTAAGTAACAAATTCATCACCTGCTACTGCTAGCTTGAATGTTTACACGTGACCTGTCACTTTCAAGACATTAGACAGACGTGTTCCTCTGCTAACCTCATTATGAAGCACACAATGCTAACACTGAAACCATGGACGCCATCACTGGCACTCTGTCCTACAGTCACACCTTTCAAATTTGGACTCCACATCAAAGTCTTCCACATTCAACACCAGGTCCACGTTGTTCTCGGCACCGAGGCTGGACCGTGTGGTGGTGTACACACTCAGCTGGAAAGGCACAGCAAGAAAGTTATTTCAAAAGGCCCCTGGCAGAAAAGGCACATCCCGGCAGCACAGGCAGGCATTCTGAGCTCTACCTCCCGGGGCAGAACTCCAGCCTGGTGAGGGTGGCGGTGCATGACACGTCAAGACTGGAAGCCCCACCAGGACAGCAGGCAGCCACGCTGCTGACAAGGGGACCTTGCCTGCAGCTTGCAGTACACAGCACGGAGGAGCCCCACCCAAGCACTGGACTACGACACCAGTGAAGACAGTACTGGAGCCGGTGTCCCCATCCCAGTTCTCCCGATGGCCAGGCAGGAAACCAGAAAGTGGCAGTGGTGACAAGTGGGCAGCATGCATACTGTCAGGGAGGAGCCCCTGCTCCAGCTCTCGCTGAGGCTCCGCTAAAACAAGAACTGGCGACAGCAGCGACACCGGGGCAACGCCTGGAGCTTGCCCTCAGCATACGGACCGCGAGATCTCACCGGCTCCGGGCACGGGGCACTGACACCGGCGACCGCGGGCAGCACGCCGGGGGGAGGAGCCCCAGCCCCGCCCGGACCCGCGGCTCTCACCTGTAGCTTGGGCCGCCGCGCTAGGTAGGGCTGGATGCAGTTGCTATCGCCGGCGCACGGGCGGGTGTAGACGATGCCGTACATGACCCAGCAGGTGTGCACCACGTACACCACGAACACGCCCACCACCAGGCTGGTGAAGGAGCTGCGGCCGCTCCACATGGCGCCGCCGCCCGCGGGCCGAGCGCGCCCCGCCCGCCCCCCCGCAGCCGGCTGCCCCGCCCTCCGCTCACGCGAGAGCCGCCGCGCGCCGCCGCCGCCACCGCTGCGGTGAAACAAACGCGCCGCGCGGGGGCCGCCGGCCGCCCCGCATACTCCCGCCGCCCACACCTGGCGCCGCGGGATTCGCCGGCCGCCGCTTCCGGACCCCCCGCGCCGCCGCCGGAAGTGGACGCGCACGCGCAGCCCCCTGGGAGCGGGACTCGGCCGCTGCTGCGCACGCGCGTCCGCGCGACGGGGGCGCGTTGCTGTCGTCATCCTCCTGTGACGTCCTTCCGGCGTGCCCCGCGGAGAGTCGGTGCTGAATCGCGGAGCGGGGCGCGGCTGGTCCAGGTTAAGGGGGGGACCTGGCGGTCCCGGGATGCAGTGACGGTCGCTGGGCCGAGCGGAGTACGTCCGGGCAGTAGACCGGGAGGTGTCCCCTGGCCGCCCGGCCTCTGGAGCCGCCCGCACCCAGGAGCGCGTTCGGGAGGGAGATCTGCGGGCGCCTGGGGCAGGGGGATCGAGGCGGGGAATGGTAGCTGGTCTCGTAGCTCTTCTGAGTCTGGGATTGTGTCAAAACATTTAAAAAGGCAGCGGACAGACCCACACCTGACGTCCTGGTGTGTATTTTGTTACAATACGTAAGCTTCACATATACGACATATCAACTGTTAACAATCTAGCAAAACAGACTAGCCGCAGCGTGTTCACCCAAGAAGGAAGGCCTGTCCCGTCCCCACGCAGGCGCGGTGTCCAGGACAGGGTCGCCAGAGGGAAGGGTTTTCCTGGGTATAAGAATCCTTAGTAACTCCATCGGAACGCTCAGGCCAGTGTGCCCCGACCTGCACGTTCTGATGGACTTGCAGATCGTCCACCACCCTGATTTGCCTGTTTCGGACCGTCCAGTTTAACTCAGTCTCGCTGGTCTTGTCCAAAGAACGCCTGTGGGTGAAAACACCTGGTTCCTGCCTAACCTCGGCAGAGGCGAGTTCTGTCTCCAGCTGATCTGTTTTCCCAATTTGCACATTTCTTCTGCATCCGACTGAAACTATCCTTTATGATTTCTTGGTTTACAGTAGAAACCCAATGTGGGGACAGGCGCTTTTTGACGAAAAAGAATACAAAATCCTTACAGTGAAAACAGCTGTGCCTAGCCAGAGCCCAGAACAGTGGTCAGCCGAGGTTCCCTCTGGGAGAGAGGCTGTTGCTCCCATTTCCCAGGACTGCTGGCACTTGATGACTTTCCATGGAGGGCGTCGGTTAGTCCATGGGCATGCAACTTCCCATCTCCTAAGGCAGGACCCTTGATTTATCAGAGCTACTGTGCCCTTTGACTGGTGTTCTTCCCTGTGTCTTTCTCTGACACATGGTCACTTTTGACACAATCAAAAGTCACCAGGCATTTGTAGAAATGGCAGGTGCTGTTAAGTTGCAGAGGGTTTTCATTTGCTTTAAGCTGAAGGACACAGGCAAGAACAGAGAGCAGTTGGCTTTCTCTGAGCAGGTGGGAGCAGGGTCTGTGGGTGCACAGACTTGCCAGGGAAGGAAAGTGAGGCAGAGACAGGACTGGGAAAGGAGCACAGGGCCACTTGAGACCCCCTGCCACTTATACCCCCACCCCACAAGTTCTCCCCACAGGGTCTACTCACTACCAGCCTTATAATGGTGTTTGATTAGACCCAAGCTTCTCACCTTTTCTCCAGTCTTCTCCCACTGCTTGTCCAAAAACCCTGTGCAGAAACCTGCTACACTGACATACATCCAGCTTCCTTAGTCTGCAGGGCTGTCTTGCCTGCCCTGCTCTCCAGCCACACTTGGAAGACCCTACAGGGTGAGACTGTTCCACATCCTACAGCAGTTTCTGTTCCTGTCAGCCTGTGGATGATGCTGTGGCCTTGTGGTCTGCAAGTGACCAAGACCAACTCTAGCTGCTAGGCATGAGGGATCAGCAGGCTGTTGGAGTGGGGGTCTTGTGGCATCCAAAGGCCAGGATGCAGCCAGGTCTCAGCAAGGGGCTGGTCCGGGAGCTGTGGGGTATGGCTTCATCCCTGTCCCTCCCTTTGTTCGGCAAATGCCTCATTTTCCTCTCAGATTACAAGCCCATTCTCTGAGCTAGAATTGGATTGGTTGCCGCCATGGTCAGTGTCCACCCTGGTGTCATTAGTGGTGGCCTGTGGAGCAGGATGTTTTGCCGGGGGTGGGGGTGCTCATGGAGAGAGGAGGAGTCTGGGTGAGTGGACGTCCTGGAATCTGCTGCAATGGCAATGGCAGCAGAGTGCTCTGCACTCTTGGCCAATGTTTTCACCCCACTCCTTCCTTGTTCGGGTTCCACACAAAGCATCCTCTCGATTCCAACCCTTGAGGCTGTGCTATGCTGGGTCATATCAGCGTGTGGGAGCATTTGGAAGAAAAGTAGTTGGAAAGAATGTTAATCTCAGAAATCCCTTGAAAGTGGCAGAGCTGTCCAGCCCCCAGCAGAAGTCTATTGATTCTCCTGTCACCCTTCAGCACTCCAGGCATGGCAGTGGCTTCTGGCTCACTCCCCAGAGGCCTGTCTAGATGTAGCTCTGCCCCCATCCCACATGGCCCACTCAGGCTTGCACTTGATACCTGGGTACAATTAATGGTAGCTTTGACTGCTCAGGTGGTGGAAATTGTTTGTCCCTGTCCCCTGCACTGGTTTCACTCCCGCTGCCCAAAGAGGTAAGGACTGCTGTGTGTCTGACGTAGCTGCCACAAATCTTGCTAGGCCTAGGGGCTTCTCACGTTCATGCTCAGGGAGCCTCATGCCAGCAGGTGATATATTAACTTTTAAATGCCTTACCAGCTCCATCATTTGAGGGTCCTTAGGCTAAGGAGGCTATCTGTATGTGGAATGCTCAGAATGTTCCAGAAAACAGGTGAAATAGCCAGACCTAGCTGTCCTTGTTCTCTGTGAACTCTGACAATAATTCAGCTGGCAATTGAGGGTAACTGGGAAGTGCAGGTCCCTTTGTGAGGTCAGCGGACCATGATCAGAACATGAGGGGAGCAGGACACCTGCCCCTGCTGCCAGCCTGTCCTTGCAGCTATGGGAAGGGAAGAAACAGCAGGAGAAGAGGTAGCAGGTAGGTAGGGCCTTCCCTGGCCCAGCTAGCTGGGGACGGCTTGCCACTCTATCCAGGGGAGGAAGGTGTGGGACTCCTGCTTCCTGTTCACTCAGGTTCTAAAGACAGTCCTTGCACACCCAGCAGCATACATTTGGTTGTGTTTAGCCATAGGCTTCTCCTGCTTAGGGCACAGGCTGCTTCTATTTCTCTGACCTGTTCTGCATGGACCTGGGCATTCCCACCCAGCCACTGCTGGGAGGCAACCATTCTCATCCTAGCCAGGGAGCTGCTGTCATAGTGGGGGTGGAGGTGGTGGGCGCTGAGCAGGGGGTGGGCTCCTCAGACACCCTGATTTGGACTTCTTGATTCCACTGGTACAAACTGAGTGCAGTGTGGATGTTGCTGGTTCACCAGGGCCATTGTCCTCATCAATGGTCCAATTCTGCAGAAGGAAAAATCAATGAGATTGCAGGTTTCAGCAGTAGAACACAACCCTGTTATTATCTTTAAAAAGCCAGGCCAGCCTCCCACAGAGCTTGCATATGACTTAGTACTGGGGGTTTTGTAGTTACCTCAAGAAACCTATTTTTTTTAAAACAAATAATAGATTATATTCTCTGAAACACATAGGGAGCTAAATGGCTTTTGACAGCCAACAAGCTCATGAAAATAGCTTTCTGTGGCAGGCAGGCAGAAGCCATCTGATGGGGCTGTGTCTGCTGCCTTCCAGAGCTCCAACTCTGCTCTGGCTGTCACTGTAATTGCCCCTTTGATGAGTGTGATAATGACAGCTCTGGATCTGCCACCTCAAGACCCAGCACAAGGGCACAGAGCCCTCCTTGAGCTGGAAGAAGCCTCCATGGGCTGGGAGGGCCTGGGCCATGGGGAGGGGCTCTGTGACCTGCTCAGATGCAGGCTGCAGGTGCAGCCAAGAACACCTGCCTGCCAAGTGCATACAGGTAGCAGAGGCCTGAGTCACAGAGAGGCTGCTTAGCAAAGTACATCCCAAGAGACAGGGTGAGATGTGATGTCAGGTGGTCCAGGAAGAATAACCACCACATTGCGGCCCCTTCCTGACATGAGTTTTCAGAGTTCAGTCATTGCTCACAATCATGGTCCCCAGGGTAGGAGTGAAGGTCATGCCATTGTACAAATGAGGAAACTGGGGCAAGAAGAGCTTTCCCCAGACACGTGGGGCTGGGGTCAGGCTTAAGACCCCACTGAGCTGTCCACTTGGACAGCTGCAAGTGTGTACAAGGGCTGGACTGTAGTCCTGGGAAGGGGATCTGCTCTGTGCCTCTGGCCATTTAAAGGATGCAGGACCCAAGCCTTACTGTGCCCAAACCACCAAGAAGGTGGTGCAGTTGATTCACAGGAAGGGGTCATGAGCCCCTTTACCCCCAAGCACCAGCGGATCAGGGACACAGGAGGACCCAACAGGTGTGATTAAGATCCTGGCTGCCAGGGCAGGGAGACCCACTGTCGAAGCTGGGTTGGACCCCCATGTTCCATAGAACAGAGGGAAAAGCAGGAAGCTTTGGTACTGCCTCCTCTCCCTTGAAAACCTGGGACATGGTCATCCAAGACAAGTGGCCTAGTTGTGATCGTGTGGACCTGACTGCACCATAATTATGAGGTTGCTCTTGGTGACAAGCTCAAATAAGGGCTGGCCCATGGTGTGATGGAGAGGATCACAACTGCCATTTCTGGTCGGAGGTCAGTCAGTGTCTGCAGGGATGTGGCAGCTGAGAGGAGGCTGAGGAGGTAGGACAGCCAGGAGGTGTTTGGACAGAGGGAATAGCATGTGCAAGTGAGGCACAAGGGTGCAGCCAGCTACTAGTGCCTTGCTCCCAGTTGCCCAGGCTGGGCCCTTCCCATCTCAGAACTCACGGCGTACTCACCCTAGGCCTGGTGGGTCATGGGAGGGGCCTGGGGTTCAGACCATGCACACTTAGACTTACCAGAAGAAGGATTTCATTTTAAATCAGATTTGGGTAAACATCCCTGGATGAATTTAGCCATGGGTCCACAGAGACAAGTTGTTTACTGCCTTGATTCCATTCAAGCTAATGCCTAATCACTTAACAGCAATACAAATAAGGGAGGTAAAAAGAAAGCACCTTCAG